CCCATGGAGCAGCCCATAAACAGGAACCCCCTTCTGTCACACCCTTCTGTGCGATGGTGAGTCCCACACAAGCCAGGGTCAGGTGCACCTCCACAGCACGCCCCCGTGTGGTCAGCCCGAGGCAGAGCTGGAGTGCAAAAGACTTCGAACACTTATCAGCAGGGAACCAGGTAACCAGTCCTCCGGGAGTGTGCTGGATCCCAGCGGGTCCGCCCTCTGCTGGCTCCCGCCAGTGAGCAGGGCATGTGATACTCTATATTGCCACAAGGTGGGGCCCGAGGTGCACGGATCCCAGGAACCGAGCGACTTGGACTCACAGGTGGCAGTAGTGCCTACATATGCTCAGGTTGACTTTAAAATTCAACATACGCGCAAAGATTCAGAAGAATAAGCGGGTTCCCTGATCTCAAAAATGCCTGTCTCTTACACACTGGCCTGCGTCGATTTATGACTCCCGCTGTAGGCCCTAAATGGCTGCATGCTTGGACCACAGTGGTAGCCTATGGATGTCCTATGTCCTAGTAGTATGACCAGGAGGGACTCCAGAGGCCCCAAAGGTCGGCACCTGATGCTGAAGTGTGGGAAAGGCTAGTGGTGGTCACTCACCTCCTCCAGGGAGATGGAATTAAGCAATGTCTCGAAACTACTGCTGCCTCCAACTATGGCCTAGGGGTGCTCCCTGCCCCTTATGAGGCAGAGTCGGATGAGGTCAGAGAGGACCACTGCACCGCAGCCAAACCGACCTGGGATTCTGTGCAGGACATGCCTCTCCAGCTGCAGCCTCCAGGGGGCGCTGTAGGCCTCAGACACCTGCACATGGAGACCATCCTGGGGGGTGGGTCACACATTTCAGGGAAGCAGAACAAGCTGGAGAAATGTAACCAGGGAGGACCTGCAGCCACACACAAACCAGGACCTCCTGGCCTGCCGGCTCCCTCCCACCCCTGCATGGGAGACTGGAAATCCCCAAACAGTGACACCTTCTTCCCTGGACATTGCCCTGGCACCTTCCGCTCTGAGTCAAGACCAATGAGTCAGAACAGGCATCCCAGCAGCCTGTCCACCCAGCATGCCAGCCAGGCCTGTGGACGTCCCTGTGCCCCACCGCCAATGCCCCTTCCTTGTGGCTTGGACACTGCTTCCTCTGGGCACTGCCCACCCAGGCTGAAAGGGGCCTGGTAGGTGGGCTGGACATGCTGGCAGCATGAAGGGGCTACTTGCTCAGGGAAGGCCCAAGGAGACTCTGCCAAGCATGGGGTAGGCAGCTCTCTAGCACAACTGCTAGGCCCCCAGTACCTCGGGGAGGGACAGCGAGGAAGACGCTGGCAGGTCAGCAGGGACAACGGCTCAGCCTCACCCCACAGGTGGCAGCAGCTCCGTCAAAGACTCCCCAAGCTGGGAGGTGTGAAGTGGGGCTCACACAGCTCCCACCCTCACTTTCATCCTGCTCTGCTCACCCTTCTCATTGATTGAATGCCTGGTGGAAGCCAGGCCTTCCAGTAGGTGTTGGGGACCACCACTGACACCCCCTTGTCTACCCTACCAGGGTCTGCAGGTTCCTGGACCCTAAGTACTCCCACATGGGACACAGGCATCTTAAGATCCATGGCTACCCCAAGGCCCAACCTTTTCTTTTTAAATTTTTAAAAAGTTTTCATCTTTGTTTGAAAGGCAGAGAGAGTCAGCTTGTGTCCACTGATTCGTTCCCTAAGTGCCTGTCACAGCCGGGGCTGTGCCCAGCTGAAACCAGGAACCTGGGACCTAAGCCGGGTCTCTCATAGTGGTGTCAGAAACTTAAGTACTTGAGCCCCTGTCTCCCAGGGCATACACGAGCAGGCAGCGGCGACTGGAAATGTTGGTAGGACTTGAACCAGGCCCTCTGTTGTGGGACATCAGGTGTCAGGAGCGGGACTTCAACTACAGCACCAAGCACCTGGCCCCATGGCCACCCTGAGCAGTTCCTCAGTGCCTGGGTGCACGCCGTAGGAGATGGGGACACCAAGCCCTGTGGACTGGGTGTGCATGATGGACTGCGGCCTCGGCAGGCTCTCACCACTGTCCTGCAAAGCGGTACCATGGACCACTTGTCCAGATGGGGAAACAGATTTGAAAGACACAGTGATATGGGCCCGGTGCCGTGACCTAGCAGCTAAAGTCCTCGCCTTGAATGCGCTGGGATTCCATATGGGCGCCGGTTCTAATCCTGGCAGCCCCACTTCCCACCCAGCTCCCTGTCTGTGGCCTGGGAAAGCAGTCAAGGATGGCCCAAAGCTTTGGGACCCTGCACCCGTATGGGAGACCTGGAGGAAGTTCCTGGCTCCTGGCTCCAGATTGGCATAGCACCAGCCGTTGCCGGCACTTGGGGAGTGAATCGTTGGATGGAGGATCTTCTCTGCCTCTCCTCCTCTCTGTATGTCTGACTTTGCAATAAAAATAAATAAATCTTAAAAAAAAGACACAGTGATTTGTTCAGAGTCTGTGGCATCAGCTGAGTATTCAGCTAAGCCTGCAGTTCATTGGCTTCCAGCCCAGTGGGAGCTTGGAGCCTGGGGTTCACTGGCTTGCACAGTCCCTGGTACACAGTTGGTACTCAATAAGTACCTGCTGAGTGAAGCAAGGCTGAAGTGGAGAGTGCTTCCCCAGCTGTCAGAGCAGGGGCCTGTGCTTCTCAACTTTCTCTCCTCTCATGCTTACCAGCGCCTGGCTATGCAGCATCCAGAGAGGGGAAGGCCATGGCTTGCATGGACCCAAGGGCGCACTGCCATGGGCTGTGACCTGAGACATAGCGGCCAGACACCACTCAAGGGGTCCACTGCCTTCCTAGCAGGCCAGACCTGGATTTCAGGGGTTGGAGTGGTCTTCTGGAGGAGCCACCCCACATTCTGGATGCTGCCCAGGCCACAGTACAACAGCCACCTTAACCCCACAGCCACGATAGCCTTTGTGGGATACCACCCACCTCCCCGTCCTGGGTGACACAGCATGGTTCTAAAATACAGGAAGGGAGGCAGGGAAGAGAGCTATCTTCCCTCTGATTCAACCCCACTGCAGCCCCCAAACAGCTCTTGCCCTGTTCTTCCTGTCCTGGAATCTCCTAGGGTGTCCTCAAGGCCAACAGGTCTCAGCATGGTACCCCCAGTTCCCGTGGGGCTAGGCTTCTTTGGGGGGACAAGCCCCCACCCAGCCTTACCCTTCTCAGCATGTCCATGAACTTTAAGGGCAGGGAGGAGCAGATGGAGGGAGCTGGACTGTAGCAGTGGTGGGAGAGCAGGGGGCCTGGTTCTGCTGTCACCCCAGCTCCTCTGAACATTGGGGCTTTGTTCTGGGTCACAGCTGAGGGTAGTTCTGTCTGCCCCCTCTCCCTGGCCGAACAAAAACCAGTTTAGCAGGGCCAGGCTCCTCCCATGCAGTCTCAGGAATGCAACCAGCTGAGGGGACATACAGGGCCTTGAGTGAGCAGGGGGGCTGCAGGGGGCAGGAGACCCTCTGTGACCATTCTGGACAGTGGACAGTCTGGGCTGGGGGCTCCCAGGCTGGCAGCAGGCCAGCTGGGCGGGATACTGTGTGAGTGACCAGAGGGAGGCTGAGCAGCTCAGCTGTGGCCTCAGGTTTCCCATCTGGAACATAGGGGTACTGAATGCAAAGGTGCCCACCTTGCCCACAGGCCTGGGCTGAGAGCAAAGGCCACCCCTCCCTTTTCTGCCCTTCACCTGGCCGGACACTGACCCGCCATCATGGGGGCATTCATTGTGTACATCTGCACTTACAGGGACACACTGTGCTGTCTGCTGCTGGCCTTCAAGGAGCATCCAGCTCCAGATGGAATTCATAAAAAACTCCTGGGCATTTGGGGGCTGAACCAACAGATGGGAGGTTCTCTCTCCTCTCTCTCTCTCTTGCTTTCATTCTGCCATTGAAATATGTTTTTAGAAAAAGCTACCTTTCCCATAAGTTCCTTGTACATATGGGTGTTAGGAGTTCGAGGAGGGGAGGATGGGTCCCGGGAGCAACCTTCTGGCAGGGAGGACAGTGCCTACAATGGCCAAGCCGGCAGGGCTGCCGTGGGGCCAGCCATGCAGCGTGTGCCTTCTGCACTGGCTACTGGTCTCCAGGGATGAACTCAGCGCAGGGGCCACTGAGCAGCCTGAGATCAAAGGCTGGGGGTGGGGGGAAGGGGGCCGAGCCTGTCACGTCCTCCCCACCCCAGCAGGCCTGGGTTATCCTGTCTCCCTATATGCAGGAGACATTCCTCTGGCCCAGCCGCCTGGAGAATTCTCAAGCTCCCTGCAGCACTGTACTTGAAAGAAGCAAGGGTTATCTTCAAAATTCCAGTGAAATTTAGCGGCTGTGATAAGCTGTCAGCCATGCCACCGCGCCAGGGCTCCAGAGTCCAAACATGCCATCACCGGATAGGAACCCCTTCTGGGGTTCCTCCAGGGGAAAGTGGGGGGCTGCCTAGGTATGTGTGCTTGCAGAAGGGGTTCTGTGGTAGAGAGGGTGGCAGCTGAGGGTCCCCTCCAGGGTCTCCCACCAGGTTTCTCAGCAGCTCCCAGCGGCTCTGCCCACTGCTGACCCTCATTCCCAGGGCCGCAGGTCTACAGCTGTCCATTGCTACATAAAAGCCACTGGGTGAAAACAGGGCTGCTTTTTTGGGAGGATTATGAAATCAGGACGGGAGTTGCTAGGAGGGAGAAGACAGCTACAGAGCTGTGAGCCCATCAGCCTCCGTTGGCTCCTCTTTCCTTCTAACCGGCTGTGAGCTACATTCTGTAGGCAGGCTGCTTCCTGGATGCAGAGAGGCCCTCAACAGCCAGTGCTGGGGGTGCAAGGAAACAAGGAGCCTGGGCGACCACTGGCCCATTGTGCCCCCAGCCCAGCTGGCCCTGCTAGCTCACCCTCCATGTACGCACCTCCTACCTCCCTGCTCCCCCAGCCCTCAGCTGCCCCCAGCCTCAGTCCCCCTTCCCGAGCACACAGGAGGGGCCCGAGCCACTACTTACTCCTTCGGGGGGTTGACATCCTCAGGCCGGGCCTCAAAGAAGCGGAAGACTTCGTCACACTGTGAAATGTGGGGAGGCAGTCGGACCAGAGCCTGGGGAAAGGACAGGAAGAAAGGGCATTAGGCATGGTGAAGTTGGGAACAGGAAGACCAAGCTAGACAGGCAGTGACGGGAAGACTCCTAGGACTGGGCTGACTTTGCTGTTGGCAAGCCACTCACTCACCCATCCAAAAGCTCCCTACCCTGCTCACCGCTGCAGTCACTTTCCTCCTTTCCAATCAGCCAGCCAGGCAGCTAACCAGCCAAATAACCAACCAATTACCAACAGACAAAATGACTACAAAAGAAAACTAGGGGCCCATGCTACGGTGTAGTAGGTTAAGCCTCCATTCACCACACTGGCATCTCAAATGGGTCCTGGTTTGAGTCCTGGCTGCTTTACTTCTGATCCAGTTCCCTGCTTATGCTCTGGGAAGGTAGTGGAGGATGGCCTTGGGCCCCTGCACCCATGTTGGAGACCCAAAGGAAGTTTCTGGCTTCCATCTTTGGACTGGCCCAACTCTAGCCATTGCAGCTATTTGGGGAGTAAACCAACAGATGGAAGATCTCTCTGTCTCTCCTTCTCTCTGCAACTGTGCCTTTCAAATAAAAGTAAAGATAACTTAAAATAACAAAGAAATAACCAACCAACTCTCCCACCAGCCCATCAACCAACTAAATAACAAGTCAACTAAGAAAAACATCATGGTCATTGAAGTCCAGCTGTGCCCTCATCCTTAGCTGAACTATCCAGCTGCATGCTTCCAGTTTTGTCTCCCCCAGCCACGGTCCAGCTACTCCAGTCACGTGCCTTAGACACTGATGACACAATGACTGCATGACAAGTGGCGAGCCACCACCAAGGACAACTGCAAGGCTTGGACCCCAGTAGGCCAATGGCAGGGTGTTTCAGCAATGACTCTTTCAGGCTGAGTTCTGAAGGATGGGCACAAAGGACCTGGCCAGTGGGCACACAGATCCAGCAGGGCAGCTACAGGTGTGGAACAGAGGTGGATTTGGCCAGAGCCCTGAACACAGATTATAGGGATGAGGAACAGGGGCCTATCCACGCTGAGCATGCCTAGAGAATAGGGTCAGCTAACAGGAGTGGGTGGCTTCTAAGAAGGGAGGGCATGAGCTAGGCCGGAAGGGGCAAGATGGAGTTTGGACAAGCAGAAAGCAGTGAAGTGGGCACCCCAGCCGAGGTGAGGGTGTGACAGGCTGGCAGGCTCGGTCACTTGGGGCTGGGAGGGGTTAGCAGAGCAAACATCTCTGTTGGTGCTGCATGCTGGCAGGTATGCCTGGGACCCCTGTCTAGCCACTTTCCCTGGCATGAACTTGAGAGTGGGAGCAAGCCCAGCACAGTGGCCTTGGGGCACATGGACAGAGTTACAGGGAGCAGGGAGAGGCACACCAGGAGCTAAGGCTCCTCCTAGTTGGCCATACAACAAGGTGGGGATGGCAAGAGGCGCAAGGCATCCTACCAGGAGAACGCACCTTCATTCTAAATCCTTACCCAGGATGGGAGAGCAGCAGATAGCGGCAGGGAGTTCTCAGTGCAGGTTGGAGCCAGGCTTCTAGAGCCTCCATGCCGTGCACCTCCAAGACCAGCGAGGAAGTAGAAAAGCAGGGCATGTACTGACAAGGGCCAGGGTCCCTGACTTGCCAGAGTGTGCAGGACACGGGTATGGCCTTAATGTCACCAGGACACAAGGACATTTAGTCCTGGCAGGCTCGGACATTTAGTCTGGCAGGCTCGGAGAGCCTGTTCCTGGTGGAGACTTGGGGCCACTGTGGGCTGAGGTCATAAGTCAGACAATGGAACTGTCCCAGCCTCATGCTCACCTGCCACACGCTGGCTTTCCCCTGGAACAGGATGCAGGGACAGGGAGGGGAAGCGAAGGGAGGGACGTATATGTAGAGACAGATGGACAGAGGGAGAGGGAGCCAGGCTGGGGGTGAGGTAGGGGCAGAGAATCCATCACCAGGGGTCCAGCTGCCTGCACAACCATTGCCTGGAACCTCCCAGAAAAGCAGGGGTGGGGGAGGGGTAGCAGAGCCATCTGCCCCTCCCCCAACCTCAGTGCAGCTACCCTCCCCAGGCACATGCCCCAGCTGCCCCAGGCCTGGCGGTGAACAGAGGGGCTCTTGATGCCACTGGAGGAGGACAGCATTCCGGGCTCAAGGGCCGCATGGGCTGTGAGGGCCCCAGACAAAGGAGCCTTTTGGAAGAACTGTGGCAGAGCCCGAGGGGAGCCACGTGGAGGCCGTCCTCACTGCAGCTTTTATCAGCGCTGCTGCCAAGCCAGGCCAGAAGCATCTGGCAGGAGAGGTTGGCGTGGAGTCCCTAGGGCCTGTGTGACCAAGAGCCAGAACAGGGGAGAGGGTAGGCCCTGAACCCTGCTGTTGGGAGAAGAACAGGTGGGGGCCAGACACATGGGTGTTTTCTGGCTCAGGTCTGCCACCAGACACTGATGACACTGGCTTTGAGATGGGGAGGCCAGGCAGATGTTGATGCATGACCTAGCACCAGCTGTTAGTGGGCTGCAGGGGGCTGGATGCATTTCCCATGCTCCGGCACCTGCCTAGCTCCGGAGAGATGGCTCAGCAGGGCCCAGGCCAGTGCCCAGCACAGAGCGGATACTCCACTTTGGGGCCTGTCCTCTCAATTACACCCAAGGTGAAAACCAGGGTGCATCCCAGTGGCAGTCCCCCTGATGGGGCTCCGGCTCTGCAGCCAGACACCTGCCTTGTCAGCTGGGGCAGCCTACATCACTCCTCTGCCCGCAGTTTCTTCCAGGATGAAACAGACCAGCTTAGCGATTCCAGAACCAGCCCTGTGGGCCCATATGAAATGCACCCCGGGCTTGGAGCTGGCCCACCAACACTAAAAAAAGGGATGACTATGATGGTAGCATTACAGAAGAGGCAGCTGAAGAAGAGATTGTCACCCCTGAGGCCACACAGGTTGTAAACAGCTACATTTTGAGTCAGGCTGCTTGAGCCAGCTCCTCTGCACAGTCTCATCTGCTCTCTGTCTCCTCCAGCATCACCCATGTCACCTATGGGCATTTGACCTGGGGATCCCTCCTGACATCCCCTGGGCCCAGCTGGGGCAAAGGTGGCTTACAGACATTCTGGGGTTTCTTGTGGCTTGGACAGTCTCTGGCTCTGGGACTGCAGACAGCACCTTGGCCAGCGAACTGATCTGTCAAATCTGTCACTCCATTGAATTGGGCCTCTCTAATATAACAGGGCTGAGCCCGGGGTGAGCTCAGGGCTGGAAGGACTGTGACCTCACGGCCCTCAGCATCCGGATAGGGGAGCCCTGCCCAGAGCAGCTGCTGGTCCTCAGGTTCCTGGGGATGTTGGCTCAGGTGACTTCAGTCCCTTCCAGATCCTGCTGTTCTGTGACCCAGGCGGATAGGGAGTGGGTGGAAGCGGGTTTAGGGGCAGAGGGAGTTCGGGTTGAGGCTACTGGGGAGCAAGCCAACCAAGTGTTGCCAGCGTGTCTCTCCTCTTTCCATTCCCAAACTGCCCTGGGGTCTCCAGCTCCTGCAGCATCATCTCCAAGCCCCCTTCCTGTATCAGGTGTCATTGCTGCAGGCAGCACAGGCCTAGATGCTGTGGCTTCCAGAGCACTGATTCATATGGCAGCAGATACAATGCGAATGCCAGTGGCCTGGGCAGGTTAGGCAACCCACGCAGTGTGCTCACTGGGAGACACCTGTCTCAGAACAAAGAGCCAAGTCTTCTATCTGGTTAAAAACCCATGGGTACCCTGCAGGGAGCCAACGTTTCCCTGTTTCTGCTGGCTTCAAAGGCAAGCTGACCATTCTCCAACAGTCTCTCTGGACTGCTACCTTCAAGCCCTGGAGACAGAGGGGACGCCCTGTAGGCACAGACATGGCCAGCAGGGTCTATTAGAAAAACACTGAGTCTGGGGTTCCTACAGTGTAGCTGATGCTTGTTAGGCTTCTGAAAATCTTCAACTTGCTGAAGTCCCAGAACCATTAAATAGTAACCACATAATCAGATTGCCCAGTAAACTAATTTATGGGATTGAAGAAATGCCTTTGGAGCCCCTTTCACAGCCATCTAGTGCTTGGAACAGCCATGGGCTAGGGCTCTCAGTGTGTATCCCCGGGGTGCTCAACCACGTAACCCTGTCCATGATCCACGTGAACTCAGAGTCGGCTGTATGCCATCATTAGGCGAGGACTGGCTGGTTGGTCAGGGCTGGGAGCTCCAGCTCTGGGCAGGTACACTGCCTGGTCAGACTCTAGCGCCCTGTGCTGTTCTGGGTACAGCTTGGCCATTTGAGATGCAAATTGCAAACTCTGAGCACACTTTGTCAGGGAGGCCCCACAGTTGCTCTCATACCTACTTACAGGTGAAGAAACTGAGCTCAAAGCGGTAAAGCAGCTTGCCCACAATCACCCAGCTGGTCAGGGGATGCCGGGATCCCACTGCAGTTCTCACTCTGACATCAACACCTGCTCTTGCCATAAGGCATCCAACAACACCTGCTTCTGCTGGAGACAGCCCACTCATGCCACCGGGGAAATTCTCTATGGAAGCTGGGGGGGGGGGGGGTCTAGTAGTAAGGTAAAATTGTGTTTTCTTTTTTTCTATTTGCTATTTGATTTTTTTTCTACTTCCTATTTGCTCTTAATGAAGCATTTTAAGAATCTACTGGTAAAACACAGAATTTTTGCACTTTGCAATAATAGCAAAAGGTGTCCCTGAATGTTTGCTCTGAAACACTGTGGGTGGCTGCCTGACGTGTGTCTGTTAACATGTCACATCCACCTTTGAGGCCCTGTTCTCCCCTCACCCGCAGTGCTGTGCGCCTGTGGACACTGCAGCTCGGGAACTGCCCAAGGCCACAGAGCCAGGTAGCAGCCTGAACCTTCGTAGGCTGGCCATTTGGAGGCCATGTACCAAGGACAGTAAAGTTGTAGCTGCCTGACCTCACTGCAGGGGTTGCAGGCTCTAACCAAAATCCAAGACACACTACCTGGCTGTGTGTCCCCCTCGTGTATGTGTGTGTTCATACAAACACATAAGCATGCTGTATAAGCACATTTATAAGCACTCTGGCCTCTTTGAAAATGTGTACGTGGCCGTGTGCTGGGCTAGTGTTGTGGTGCAGTGAGTTAAACTGCCACTTGCAATGCTGGTATCCTCTACGAGTTCTGGCTGCTCCACTTCCATTCCAGCTCCCTGCCAACACACCTGGGAAAGCCCCAGTGCTTAGGGTCCTGTCTCCCTGGACCCACCCCACTCCCACCCACGGGAGACCCTCTGCGGTCATTTGAAAGATCTCTGTCCCTCCCACTCACTCTCTAACTCTGCCTTTTAAATCAACATGTTTTTTAAACAAGATGGATGTGTCTGTGCTCACAGGGGCAGCCATTCCAGCTTCTCGTGAACTCAATGACTAGAACAACATCCTTCAGGGGGCTCAGAGATGCAATTCTCTGTGTTGTAAAAATGGCACACACACCTCCCCCACAGCAGCAGGTCCCTCCCTTAGCTCCTGAACTGGTGGAAGGGACTGTCACCAGTGTTGTGTGCACAGGGGACACAAAAGGAACAGGGGCTTAGCTGGGAATCTGTCCAAGCAGGGTGACCCACCTCCCAAAATACAAGCCTCCTAGGCCAGGAGACAGACAGCCTTCCTTCCCAGACAGGCCCCAGGCTGACAGCCCTTCCCCAACCCTCCCCCAGCCCTCCCCCAGACCCATATGCCCTTAACCAGCCCTTCTCCAGCCCTCTCACAGCCCCACACACCCTTACCCGGCAGTACTCATCAATGGGTTTCAGCCTCTTCACTGCCACGTCCCGGATGTGGCTTCTCCGGAAGAGGATCTTGCCTGGAAGACAGAGGCTTCTGAGTTGGGTGCTCCTGGTACAGCTGCCCCAAAAACCCTCTCCATCCCTCTGCCCCGGCCTCCAACACCACCTCTGCCTGCCACCAAGGGAACAAGAAAGGGGTGGTCACCTCGCCTCGAGGGCAGGACGTGCCCCAGGCTGAGGGGCCAGGGCCTCTCCGGCAGGTGAAGAGCCCTGAGGAAGGCCATGTCTGGCTCCTAAGAGCCAGCTGGCCACATCACCTCTTCAGGGTGTCAAAGAGGCAGGATTAGGGCCTCCCAGGGGTAGGAAGTGGTGACTGAGTGACTTGCAAATAAATCAAGTATGGCCCAACCCACCTGCCCAGCTCTGCACACAGGTCCATGCCTCTTGAGAAACAGGCATTCCTTCCTGCCCGCAGGACATGGAACTGCTATTCTTAGTGTAGGTGGGTGGCTATTTCCACAAGCCCATGCCAAAGGAATCCCAGTGGCCCCTGCCTCCAGCCAGGTCGGCCTCTCTGCAGGTGTGGGTAGGTGTGTCTGGGACAGCCTGCGAGACAGGCTGCCTCCCTCTACAACACCCATAGTATGCCCATTCCTAGCGCACTCAGAACACACTGCTATGCTATCATCCCTGTGACTTGTCTGTGGGCCCACGGAGCCCAGCACATGATGAAATGCTCTTCCAGGGCCACCACGGCCTTTGTGGTCCCTGTCTACTTGCTGACCCGGGGATGGGATGAGAGGGGGAAGGACAGTGTCCTCCACTCCCAACCCTTGTAGTACCAGTACGGTGAGTCACACCCCCTGGTAACAAGGCAGGCATCCTAGTCAGCTAGAGTCACTGTGACTGGCTAGGGGCATGGGTCAGGTACCTGAGGCTGGGCGGCAGCCTTTTCCTGGAGTGGCTAAACTGGCAGGATGTAAGCCTGGCGCCCCTGGTGGCCAATGTCATCATTGCATGAAAGAAAAATCTGGGGAGAAGGGAGGAGTCCCAGGTTCCCCACACCTCTTTTCAGATGCCGCTTCTGAAGCTCGGCTCAGCCTAGCCCCTGTCCCATGTGTCAGACAATCACACGCTGTCTTTTTCCCCTCAAACTAGTTGGAGTTTTGTAGGTGAATATGCAGACTGCACGGCCCTGTCCTGTGCACAGGAGCAGCAAGAAAGATTTCTGCTGCTCGCCCAGAAGCAGCCCAGGGGCAGGGGAAAGGGAACCGAGGCAAGGAAGGCAAGTCTAACAAAGACAGTAAGTGAGCATCGTGGGCAGCTGGAGTTCAGTACTGTCAGCCAGCCCGGGAGACGGAACACACCTCCGAGGTGTCTGAACAGAGGCTGGGGGTGGGAGTGGGGAAAAGGGTTATCCACCAACTCCCTGCTGCTTCTGAAGATGCTCCCCCACAGCACTGCAGCCCAAGGCTGCTCCAAAGGCCTCTCAGAGAAGGGGTCCCAGGCATCCAAGGGAGCAGTGGAAACAGGTGCCTGAACGCAGCTGCTGAGGTCATCCCAACCTCCCTGCCGTTGCAGGTGCCTGGTCCAGCCCCACTTCAGCTACACAGGGAGACTCCAGTGGCCTGCACCTGTGGGATAGCTTCCCATTGGGGCTCATATCCCCCTGTAGGTGGTCTACAGCTCCTTCCCCATCTGCCTTACCTGCTCCAGGTCGTCCAAGGCTCTGCATATAGCAGGTGCTCATTGAGTACAGTGCACTCATTCACTTTCCTCTGCCAGACCCTTCCCAAGCTTGCCTTCCTTCCTTGCTGTCTGCAAGCCAGTGCACAGGCCATGCCTGGCCAGATAGCTGAGGCTGTGCAGACCTCACGGTGTCATCAAGATAAAGAGGCCCCGTCATACGTGCCTTCCGAGAGGAGATCAAACGTGAATTATCAAGATTCAGAACACAGCCGCCCTTCTGGAGGGAGGGGAGATGTCACAGATGTGGGATTCCTGTCTCTGTGCCTGTGTGTCTGTTCCAGTTGCCGGCTGCTTTACTGTTTGCAAGCTGCAGGAGCATAGGTGGTTGGTTGTGGGGTCCCTGGGTAAAAATAAATGTGTGGCCTGAGGAGTCACATGCCCAGGTCTGACAGAATGACAGGCAGACCTTGCGCTGGAGCTCTGGGCCTTCCATCAGGGCCAGCTGTCCATCAGGGGCTGGACACTACCCAGACCCTGTGACAACAGCAGTCAGGGTACCTCCCTGGAGCAAGGGGACTCGGTGAGAAACACAGAAAACCAAAGGGGAGACCATAGATGGGACTGGGGCCCATGATGCAGCAGAGGCCTGGGCCTCCCAACACGGCACACCTGCCCTTGGTCCCCGTCAGAGCACAAGTAGGAAAGGAAGGAGATGGAGAGATGCACAGGGTCCTCCCAGCTCCACCAAGAGGCGAAACCTCCCGTAGATGGAGACCCTGAACCTGGTGCAGATGCAGAGAGAACCAGTACCAAATGATGCTACAGAACACCTAGTGCCCCAGTGGTGCCAAGGAGCCAGAGAGGGGCAGGGGAGGCTGGGAGGCATGGACCCTGATTCAGATTGGACTGCCACTGGACTTTTCATTTGCTAATTTCTAGTGGGCCCTGCCATCACCAAACTTGGTTAATAAAGACTCCTTAACACATCCTAGACTTGTATGGTGCACCCCATAACATCTTCACCTTGGTTCTCCCTGATCAGGTGAAGCAGAGAGCTGCTGGTAGGTATGACCCTGGCCACCCATGCTACCTGCTGCTGCACCTAGAAGGATATAGGCCACCTGCTCCCCTGCAGGGCTGCTCTTGGCCCATGGCAGCCGGGATATATCCACAGCAGCCGAAGCCTTGTCTGCCTCACATTATACCCGGATGCCCAGTCTTACTTCTCACCTGCAATTCCTGGTTTTACCCACTCTTCCCAGGGGCTGCAATGAGACCGGAGGCACTGAGCATGGGAAAGCTCCAGGAGGAACACCTACCGAGGAAAGGGTGGCAACTCATTCTCTCTTTGAGACCCATTCCATCAACCTGTCTCTGGTTTGATGGGTGGATATAGGTGGGTCGTGTGCACCACCTTTACTTTTAAGGAAGTGCCCCAATTTTCTTTTGGAGTCACTCCCTCCTTCCTTCCTTTTCAGCCCCAAGTGCTTCTCAGTGGAGCTGACCCCACCCCAAAGTCGGGGCATCATCAGTGAATATAGCCCATTCACGGGCCCATGGCCCGAGACGGTCCAGGGAGACTCAGCCTGGGACTTTTGTTGGAGCAAGAATTAAAAGGAGTGTTCTCTTTCTCCAGTGGTCACAAACTTTCTCCAGGCTCCCTTGCTTCTAGGGAGCCCCTCTGTGTTGTCTCTTACCATTTGGGAGGAAGCAGATTCAATGATGAAGTCTACAGAAAAGAAAGCAAAGCTGAGAGTTGAAGAAATAAGAGATAAGGTGACCTTGATCCAGCAAGGTCTGGATTTCAGGTATATTTCCCCTTTACATTTTAAAGCTAGAGTGAGGAAGATCTACATCTCCAACATTGGGAAGTTCTGCCTAGCACATCTGGCTTAGCCACTGCTCTGTGTGACACAGGACAAGTCACAGCCTCTCTGAGTCTGTGAAATGAGGACAGAATCATCTTTCTCCAAGGATTACTGTGAGGCGCCAATGAATCAGTGCCTGAAGCCATTGAACCCAGAGCCCAGCCCACAGCAAAAATGCTGAGCAAACTGGCTCATCCACCTCAGGCACCTGGGAGACTTCTCTGGTGATTTGCTCAGGTTAGCCTCCTCCCTGTGCAGCCGCACCCCTCTCAGGCACTCTGGGATAAAGACCTCGCACCAATCTACAGGGTCTTACCGGCAATGGAAACCACAACCCACTAGCTGCAGCTTGGGGAAAAGCGGGGTGCATGGAATAGGCACTGAGTGTGGCCTGTAGGTTCCTGTACTCAGCAGCCAGAGTCAGGCTTCAGGAAGCAAACTGTGGCTCAGCAGAGGCTGGGGGGCTTACAGAGTACCGTCCTTCTCAGCCATAGCCATGGCCACAGCCACTGGGTCCAGAGGGAAGGTGGGAAAGAAGGCAGAATCTAGTGGGCGCAGTGTCTGACAGCACTGTGTCCTGGGCACATCATCCTTCCTGATTTAGTCTTCTCTGTCATCAGATGGGACTTCAGCCCGAACCTGGCCCAGGCACAGGACAGGCACACACTGATGGGCGCAGGACTGTTATAGGGACAGGCAACCCCCAGCCACCGGACGTCTGGCCGACAACATGTGGGAGCCTGTGGTGATCGTCTGTCTTGTGCCCAATCCCGCCCCTGTCCTTCCTCCCGATCTGCTTTCTGCAGAAGCCAGAGTGATTTTCTTAAAACGTAACTTTTCCTTTGCTTAACCCTTTCAGTGACTGCCCAGGGTACTGAGAGTGCAATCCCAACTTGCTTTCGGAGGGCATGCATCTGGGGCAGCGGCCTGCTGTTCTGGGATGCCTGCAGCCCACATCAGAGGATCTGGGTTGCAGGCCCGGCTCTGCTTCTGATTCCAGCTCCCTGCAGCTGTGCGCCCTGGGAACAGCAGGTGATGGTTCAAGTATCCAGGTCCTTGTCACTCACAGAGGAGACCTGAATGGAGGATACCAGTTGTTGTGGGCAACTAGGGGTCGGGGTGCAGCAAACTAATGAATGGCTCCCACCATAAACACAGCTACTCTATCCACCTCTGGGCCTGGGTGCCGGCCACCCCCTTTTCTGGCACATGGCTTCCTCCTGTGCCCTCGGCACAGTCGGCGTCTCTCACTTGGCAGCATTCAATGTGAATGTTGCTGGCTGCAAGGAGAGGTTACCCACCCCTGGGCTCAGACCGTTTCTCTCCCAGAATGCTTTGCCCTGGGTAGCACCTCACTGAGGACCTAACAGGACCCTTCCAGCTCTTGCTTTGGTTCACAACGACTCTAACATGTGTGCGTGGGTGTAAGTCCTGGCCCAGTGGCCAGGACTGACACGTGCTGAGTCAGCAACGAGGACTGTGGTCACCCAGCCTCACCCCAGGCGTCCCTCTAACTGTTA